AAAACTGAAAATGAAAAATGAATAAGTTTTAACTAAACACGTTTTCTAAATTTTCCAATGAAAACCGAAAACGGAAAACGAAAACTGAAAAGGGAAAACGGAAAACAGAAAATGAAAACTGTTTTTCCTAAACTAAACGCAACCTTAAAGTTTCTCTTAGTTTCTTTCCCACTCCTGGTTTTCACACATAATCGCATACGTTGGTCCTTCGATTGATCATTCATATTCATTCATAAGATCCCCAAGAGATTAATTAATCTTGTGAAACAAAAAGAAAAACAGAAATTAGATTTTCAGACTAGGGTGGGTGTTTGAATCCGGTTAGCATTAATAAACATGATCTTGCTGTACGAATACAGATTGGGACGATCGATCCATCAAATCATTTGGGAATTTCACATAAAAGATTTTCTTCCCGGATATCGGGTCCATCATGAAGCACGTGGATTCACAGAGGGCCTTAATCTAGTTTGTTTACTGAGCAGCAGCCAGAGTATATGTGGAAGGTCGAAGGTGAGAAACGGGGTGAAAGATGACTCTGGAAAGTAAACCTATCATCCTTGAATCGTGCCCAATCCCCCCAAAACACCATCATCGAGGCTTTCTTATTGTAGTGTGCATGAGAGCAGATGGACTATGGTTCTTCTGTACAGAGGGATAGCGAGGTTCATCGGTATTGTGGGTGGGTATTCAAACACTCTGTAGTTTAAAGATCGTGGGTTTAAAAGAATCAGAGATGGATTAAGTTCGCTTTCTGTCTAAGTGGGAGATGTAGACGCAGAGGCTGAAGAAGCAGCAACATCGACTGAAATGGTGAAGAAGAAGTCGTGTACTTTGAAACAAATCATAGATCTTTCACTCTGTTCAATATTAAGGTTCACTGCAAGGGAGGGGTATATTTGTCAATGCATAAAGTTTTCAGTGGTTGAATAAAAATCTTCCGTGGAAGAATCAAGCCCCTTTTAATACCCGACCTAAGCCGTATTGACCTATGCCATTTGTTGGTATTAGTAGATTTCTCCTGTGTGTGTTCTTTGTTTGTTTACCACTTTAAGAGAAGGAATAAGACTATTATTATTGTAAACGTACATACATCGAAGTGATGAAAGAATTTAGAAAACTTATTGTAATTTACAATATTTTACTATACTAGCTGTATATTCGCTAATTAATCCCAACCTATCTAAAGATCATATGACATGTCTTCTCATCGATGTTGTTGTTGATACAAATCTTTATACTGATCCTCCAATACAACGTCAAGGGAGCGACCTAATACTCTGACTATCATCTTTCTTAATTAATGCGTTCTAAACATTAAGAACATCCATTGATAACTCGTTTAAGAGATTATCAAACAAGAATTTTGCAATCTCGATGCCAATTTCCTTTTGTTCCTCTTCAAAATCTTTCCATTCCCCTCTTTTGTCCATTTCTTGAATGCACACTTCTCTCCTACCCTCCATTTCCCATTCCAAAGATCCGTCATCTTCACCTCTCACCCAACATTTTGCCATCCTTATAACTTTAGACTCAAATTCACTATTGTTTTTCACTCCCTTATTCGTGATCAATTCATCCCTAAAGAAATCTAGTAACAAATCATCCACACTCTCATCACACTCTTCAATCGAGCTTGTTGTTTTGACATGATCCATTAATTGGATTGCCTTTTCTTCTACTCTAAATGATTCAACATCATCTAATTCGATATTTCTGTTCACTAAACAACGATCCTCCACCTCAATCAGATTCTCGAAGTCTTGAATACGTTGCTTAAGCATCATGTTTCGTCCTATTGAATGCAGAATTCATTGATCAATTCGAGTTTTATAAGAGATTAATAAGTAATTAGAGGAAATGAATCATGGATACAGAACACTTACTTTCCACGTTTGCAAGGACTTGATGAAACGAAGAGAAGGTTTCTTCATGTTCTTGTGAAAAATCAAGGACTGAAATTGGGCTAAATTGTTCCTCCTCCTCCTCCTCCTCTTCTTCTTCTTCATGTACGATTTGATTCTGTATAACAAATTTACACATGATCATAAGCCCCCGAAAATAATTAACTAAATTTCATCGCAAATTTTAGGTAATCATATTTATTTAGTTTTACCTTTGGATCTCTGGAGTTCTGACGGAGCCTTTCGCCGCCAGCTACATTAATGTGGAAATTCTTCTCAATATCACCGGAAAATCCACGGCACCATACCGGTGAATCACCGACAGTAAAATCACTATCACACCAGCTACTCCTCGGCGTTCCAGCGGAAGTTGTGGTAGCGGTTGTAGTTGTACATCGAGAAGGAGAATCGGACTCCACAATAACTTCCGATGGCAGAGGAACATTATTCTCCTCCGGATCCGCCAAATCACGAAACGATCTCCACCGTAATATATCCTTGACAGTCACAGACGTCGTTCTCGCCATCGTGGGCTCCGGTAGACCTGATGATGATTTGTTTCTGTTGATCCGTGTAGACTTGGAGAAACGGCGGGAGATGCTACGGCGTAAAATGGAGGAGGATTTCACGGAGGAGACGGCGGCGTGGAAGAAGACGGAGATTGTGGATTTGCGAGAGCAAGAGCGAGAACGAGGGAATGGTAGGTTTTGGTCTTGTAGAAAGTCTTTGAGTCTGCGAGGTTGAATTACACATTGTGATTCCATGTATGTGGCAGAATTACAGGAATTAGCCATGCAAGTTACAAAATGATTGTTCCAGAATTGTGTGTTTGTAGGCTGTAGTGTGTGTTATTGTGAGGAAGGTGATGCTGTTGAATGTTGATGGGTGTATATATATCTTTATGGAGAAGAAGGTGACATGAAGCTTCTTGTACATCACTGTTCACTACAAAATTAATTGAGATAAAGTTGAAAAACCTATTAAATACTATAACTTAATTTTATATATTGATGGGGTACATATGAAAAAAAAAAACCTATTAATTCATTGTGTACTCCTTGTAAATATACAAACTTATTTTAAAATTTTAATTGTTGTATTGTATCATGATATGAAATATATTATTATTTTAACTAAAACCAAATATAATCTAAAATGATAATAGCTCTAAGAATATGTATTATTGCAATTTGCATGCATTTAAGAAATGTTATAGAAATTTAGCCAATATAATAATACTTTTTTGTCAAATTCGTAAATACACTTATATGATATTTCTAATTAATTACAACCTTTTAGGCATTACATGAAAGCAATCAAATTAAAACATAAAAAAATATTGTTCTTTGATCTTCAACACTTTTCTATTGAAATAATGGATCAAATGATACACTGAATAGAATCATAGAAAACAATAAACGTGTGTTTTTTATAGTTATTATATTATATTTTTATTTAATTAAAAAATATATTCAGATTTTTTATTTAAGTTCTTATCTACGACTTCTCCAAATACACTCACAATACTTTTCTATTTGTATGACTTCTCCAAATACACTCACAAGCAGTGGCGAATCTAGAACCAAAATTAACGTGGTTCCTTATATAAATGAAATGGAAAAAGTATGAAAATATAGGTCTTTTGGCAAAAATAAGGTAGTTCATTATGTTTTTTTTATATAGAATTGTTGTATTAAAAAAGAAAAAAGGTAGGTCCTAGGACCCACCTTCACATAGTGTAGCTACGCCCCTGCTCACAAGACTTTGGTTACACACTTTTATGTAACCATGAAGTATCCTTTTTTGTACGAACCGTTTAATTATGAGAAAGAGATGATATAGAGAGCCTCGGAGATGAGAAGAACATAGAAGCTAATAATCTTAAAAAAAACATGCATCAACATCACCATGAAAAAGAAAGAAATCTAAAGGAGAAACATCAAATATGGCTCAATAACAGAGAAACAGAAATGTTTTTTTTTTTTTTTTTTGAGAGAGAGAGACGGTGACTAGGGATGGGCGAGACCCAATTTTGTTTTCTTTAATTATAAAATCATTTAAATAAAAAAATCATAAAAGATATATTGATCATTTTACAAGTATTTCACCTTTATTTCCTAACCTTACTAAACATAAGGACTACTAGTGGGTTTTCAAACTACAAATATCATCCGTACCAAAAAAAATCTATAAAAATTATTTGTGGTAAGTTTTGTCAACGGCATGAATCATTTATATAATTTTGTCATTTTCATATGAAAGATGTATATAACTCGTAACAAAATTAAAGTTTATTAGATACAATAGCAACGAAACCCGATAATTCCATTTAGAATGGTGTTGGGGGAGTTAAAATGTCGATAGTCGTATTTTCATCATGAAAAAAACAACTACATCAATATGATCTCCCACATGTGTGAAAACATTAAACTGAAAATGCGGTAAACAAATAGAATGAGAGTCAAAATTCGCAAACCAGCATATATACACGAGAAAATCATAGTATAAATATATAGATCAAAGGAAGCAAACAAAAAGAAAAGTAAGTGAATAGGGATATAGTAAAACATATACATAAATAAATCATTATACAAGCAAATTTTATTAATTAGAATCTAATAAAAAAAATATATGATAGATTCTGTGGGGGGCAAGATTTGTGTTGGTCTTTGACTCTTCAGGAATCGGACAAAAGCCAGGAGACTCAATTTGGAGCGTAGTGAATATTAAACCTGTTTAGATGGTCGCATCTACGTCTCTGGTTTCACTCATTTACTTGTTGAAAGGTCATACCAATCTTTTTTTAAGTTTTCCTACGCTAAATTACTTTAGTATAACTATGAATAAGGATTATTTAATAACATATTTTTGTCACATTTAATATTAGTAATCTCTGATATAATTAAAAGTATAGAAGAAAATTATTGACAGTCACCCAACCTACCGGTTCAACCTGATTTAAAGATATATATATGTATTTATATTTGTGTATTTGTAATCCTTAATCGTCTTACTTTACCAAATCATATAACCAAGTCGTGGAGGGATAGGTTTAAGATGGATGAGTGGGTTGAGGTGCTAAAAAAGGGTTTGTGATCCGAAACCGGTTTGGTTGGAATAGGGATCACAAAGAAAGGGCTAGGTGTTCTGACCCCCCAAATTAGGGAGTCTTTCTCTTGTCAAAGATTGTGTATGAGAGCTTTAGAGAGAAAATGAGATTGAGGAGGGAACAATGTTTTGTTGCTATGCATGGTTTTTGTGCCTCTATTGCGCAAGTTTTTTGCACAATATTCTGCTAGGATTAGGCGAGATATATTTGGTGCTTTTGCCGGCGACGGCTACTTATATGGGTATTCGGTCCAGATGCGTGGTGAGTTTATTGGTGCCTGGGGTGAGGATCTTTTTGATATGGTACACTACTACCAACTATATGTAATAATGTCTTTGTATTTAGAAAATAAAATGTTTCAAAATATCTCAGATATACATATGCAATATAAATAAAATAAGAAAACATAGAAAATATTCATTCGTATAGTATGACTGTCGCTTCCTAATTACAAGTTTGTAATTGTATACAAACATTAGATTTTCACTTATCATTTAATTAGTACATAAAACTTACATGTATATAAACTTTTTTATCAAAGTAATTAACACTTATTTATTAAGTTAACAAACGTATCATTTTAAAAAAAATGTTCATAAAGGTTAATGCATATATGCCAAAATAGCTGAATTTACTACTCCCTCCGTCCCAAAATTATAGTCCATCTTTACTTTTTGGTTTGTCCCAAAATAATAGTCCACTTCTAAAAATAAATAACATTTTTACCAAAATACCCCCTCATTATTACTTAACCAACTAAGCATTTAAAGGAACATTAAATGCAAAGTAAGGACAAAACTGTCATTTTATTAAATAAAGTTAATAGTAATTAATGTTTTTCTTAATATGTGTGTTTTTTATCTGTGCACAATAATATTGGGACGGAGGGAGTATAACTCAACCAGATTTACGAGGGTATAATTTTTTAGTCTAAGAAAATGCCAAACAAAATGAAAGTGAATCGGACTAAATCGATTGACACGAATAACGGTACCGAAATAGATGACAAACATTGGTGGTTGGATTAATATAAATGGATGGTGTTGATATAGATGGGGACATGGGTAGAAGGGGGAAGATGTAACGTAACTTCATTCCCATGAAATTCCAACTCATTTTCACGTGCAACCAACTGTATTTTTTATTTTTTATAGCCAAATATAAGATGAAAGATTCGACCCTCGATATATAGATACGGGTGAAAACGTGTGCTTCATATTTATATGAGAACTCCTACGAGTTTTAAATATTTGTAAATATATGATACTTTTTGCCATCAAGAACTCGAACTACTAGGTGTTGACTTGGAAGTGGTTTAATTTTCAAACAAATATTCAATCAAAATGATGTAATCCAACGAAAATATTATTTTGTAGTGGAGTTCGTATAAAGACTACTAGAAAATCTCAAAATACTTACAGCAAAAACTGTAACACTACTAGAAAACTGATTCAATAGCTACAGCATAATCCGTAGCTATTATGTAGCTATAAGCGGATAGCTACGGAATTGCTACGGAAAAATGTCTGTAACATAATGGCCCGTGGCTAAATTATAGCTACGGATTAGCTACTGAATCGCCACGGAATAGCTACGGAATTTTCCGTAGCTACCATAGCTACGGAATAGCTACGGAAATAAATAGCTACGGATTTGCTACAGAATAGCTACGGAATAGCTACGGATTTGCTACAGAATAACTACGGAAATAGATAGCTACGGAATAACTACGGAAATAAATAGCTACGGATTTGCTACAGAATAGCTACGGAAATGGATAGCCACGGAATAGCTACGGATTTAAATAGCTACGAAATAGCTACGGAAGTAAATAACTACGGATTTTCTGTAGGTAATCCGTAGCTAATTACTTTTTTTTTAAACAGTAAAAAATTATAATAAAAAAATCCAGTTTTTTATGTCCAAAATATTGAAAAAACCCTTTACATTAAACTTATAATAATATTAAAATTCAACTACAAAACAAATAACATTATAATAAAACTAATAAACTTAAAAAAAAGTATCAAATACAGATACATATTACTAATGAACATTGTCTAATAATACATTAACCTAGGGAAGATTCCCGCTTTGCGGGATTGGATACGCCAAAGAAAAAACACAGGTACAGATCAGAGATCACTCTAAAAAATAAAGTCAGCCAAACCATCTTTTGAGTTCCATATCTATACAACCATAAATAATTGCTATGTAAATCAGGAGTTTCATCTCCCAAAACCTCCCGAGCATTTGCATATGCTGAAGTTGTATGTTCACTTAATTGTTTTATTAACCCAAGAACATCATAGCTTCTTTTACCTGGGCTCATAAAGTAACCCATATCCTGCAAACAATACACAAAACATAAACAAAGGGTATTTTGGTCTTTCTGGTAAATGAAAAGGAAAAAATGGAATTGAATTCCTTCCTTCCTTCCACCTTTCCGTAGGTATGGCGAATGACATCTATCAAACATGGATTTTTAAAGGAATGTGACGGAAGTAAATTCTGTTTATACGGGTTTACCTACGGAATTGTGACGAACAGTATGCCGTAAAATAATCGTTCGTGGGTAAATGTTAGCAACGGAGCTGCGACGGATTACCTATGGAATACCTACGGGATAAAGTAGCGACGGAATTACGACGGATTATCGACGACTGTTACTTACCTATATAGAATACCGACCACAATTTTCCGTAGGTACTTTACCGACTGAATACCTACGGACAGAAGTAGCCACAGAATTGTGACGGATTACCGACGAAACACACTTTGACTGACATTGACTTAACTACCGACGGATACAGACGTATTTATCGACGACTTTTCTGTCGGTATTCCGTATGTAAACGTCGTTTTATTAAATAATTAATTTGAATATAAAATATTTCTAGTTTTTTTTTTCAAATATACAAAATAAATAAACACAAACCTAATAACACTACAATTAAAGTTTCAAAATACACAAAAAGTGTTCCAAATATCAAGTTTGACACATTCCTTTGTTCCATTGTCACAACATTCATACCAACTAAAAATTAACAAACATTCGTTCCAAATACCAACATTCATAACTTATGCACCATCCTCAGGTGGAGTATGAGGGGGATCACAGGCTTGATTTGGCGTCACATTTATCATCCTCGCCATCCTTGCCATTTGTTCTTGCAATTGTCGCATGTTAGAAACTTCTTCACGCAACCTATCAACCTAAAAAATGGTAATACATTTAATTCAATACTTAAACCCATAGCAATGTACTTGAGTTTATTATAACAATGTATTATAGTTTATAATTATAGCAATATACTTAACTTTTAAACTATAATAACAATGTACTTTTGTTTATTATTAATTTAATCTATAATAACAACATACTACATAACGTTTAAACCATAATAACAATGTACTTTTGTTTATTATAAATTTAATCCGTAATCACAACAAACTACCTAACTTTTAAACCATAATAGCAATGCACTTTTGTTTTTAATCAATTTTATACATAATAACAACATACTAAACTTTTAAACCATAATATCAATGTACTTTTGTTTTTAATCAATTTTATCCATAACAACAAAATACTACTTAACTTGTAAACCATAATAGAAATGTACTTTGTTTATTATCAATTTAATCCATAATCACAACAAACCACCTAACTTTTAAACCATAATAGCAATGTACTTTTGTTTTTCATCAATTTTATCCATAAGAACAAAATACTACTTAACTTAGACCATAATAACAATGTACTTTTGTTTATTATCAGTTTAATCCATAATCACAACAAACTACCTAACTTTTAAACCATAATAACAATGTACTTTTGTTTTTAATTAATTTTATCCATAATAAGAACATACTACTTAACTTTTAAACCATAACAACATACCTCTTGTTGTGTGTTGTTGTCGGATTGGGTGGACCGGGTAGATTCAGAAGATGTTGTCCCAGAAACCATAAAATTGGCATCCGATGCTCCTACACCATAGATATGACCCTTCTTCTTTCCTCATTTTCTTCGAATTTGGATTTCAACCCATACCTTCGCATCGTCCTTATGGTTTGCCGGATCTTCTCCATATTTCATCACTAACCCCTCTAGATATGCATTCTATAATTTACCAAAACAACACCATTGTCATATACAAAAAAACTGAGGCAATCAATATAAAAAAATAATAAAGATAATTGACTTTTGCATCTTTGGCTTTTTCTAAGCAATATTCTATATTTTCACGTTCTCCCTCAAAATATCTTTTCTTGGACTCACTGGTGTCATGTGTCTTCACGTATAGATCACAAAATTTGGGTTCTTTACCCAGCTGTGCTCTCTACATAAAAGACAAAGTATAATTGATGTAATTAGTGTTAAAACAAAACAAGAATAATAAAATTTACAATTATGATACTAACCAAGTTACGACGGTGCTCGGCATATCCTATGCTACCGACTATATGCCTTGATGTCCTCCTATTGGAATCAGGGGTGTTCCGGTTCTTCTGGGTAGCTTTTAACAACCTTTTCCATTTCTATGTGCTCCAGTACTGTTAAAAGAAATATATATTTAATAATATAATAGGTAATAAAAAAATTAACAAAATAAAACAATAATGTATTGTATCTCTTACATCACACAAACGTGGCCACACAGACTCTGGTACCATATCGGGATTGTGTTGATACATCTCAGGAAAGTATTTACTATAACCTTTTTGAATGGGTAGCACACACGTTGTGCCAACATGTGCCATGTTGGCAGATAACTTCCTCAAATCCCTCATCTTTCCCTATATCTATCCTTGAGGACATTATTGAATGTCGTATATATCACATCATTCTCTGTTGTGTACCACCTATATTTTGTATGTAAAAAATAAAAAGTATAGTTAAAAATATAAAGTAAAAAGAAATGAGTTTAAGATACAATAATAAATATTTAATATACTACCCTAGAATGTGCAAACATCTATCTACGAGTCTTTTCTGTGATGCTCTTATATGTAGGCCATACATCATCCATACTCTGCCAAAAGAGATTCATAATCGCGCTGTGGATAGAATGATCATCAAACCTACAAAAAAACTTATATAAGTATAATTACAACATCAAAAATTAAAGCTTTAAAAGATGAAAACACTAACTTATCCCCGTTCTTGTGGATAATGGGCAACGATGAGTCATCAAAATCATCGACATTCGAGTCTTGACCGCCCGAAATACCTCTGGAGGTGGAGCCATGTGGCGTCGGTGGCCTGTGTGGCACAACCGGTGTATTTGGCACCATCAACTCTGCATCTCCACCATCAAAAAAATAATCCTAAAACCCATCACCACCATGGGTTCTCAAAACCATAGGTGAGGTTCCACAACCCCTTTAAGGGGGTGGGGTGGGGTGAGGATGAGGGTTGGGACCCATAGCCTGTCTGTGTAAGTGGAGGCCAGGGCCAATAACCTATATGTGAGGGATGGGATCGATGGTTCATCTGTTGGGGTTGGGGTTAGGACACATAGCCCATCTGTTGTGTCCGACGAATAACCCCGACCAAGTCTGCTAGAGGATTAGCCATGCCAATTTGTTGAGTAATGGCACCTTGACTGTTGGAGCCTGTAACTCCTCTCATCATAGGCATGTCGATTGGTGTGAGAGACGTCGTATGACGTGGCTTGTCAATAGAATTAGGGGATGCCTCCCATCTGCCCCATACTGCCAGAAGAAGGGTTGTTCTTGCGGCCTTTATCCTTCCGTCCATTACCCGACATGCTGCATTTAATAGAACAAGAATGGTCAGATATATAATATAAGATTGATAAGTCATGACAAAACAATTGTTTAAAACAACAACGAGATGCCCATACCACAATCATTACAAAAGCAATGTTTCATTATAAGGTTTAAAAGAAGACAATGCTCCTAACATCAACAAATACAATGATCCTAACATAAACAAAAGATAATGCTCCTAATATTTGTCCCCATCATCTTCGTCTTCAAATTCTTCTTCTAAATAAAACAACTCGTTTCCATATTCTTCGTCTTCAAAACCTTCATCTTCTTCGTCTTCCTCCTAGATCCCTCATTTTCGTCATCAGATATTTGCTCATATGTATTTATAGTTGAGGCTAGGCACAATCGTTCCGCACAAGTTACAGTAACAGGTGACTCAAACCGTTCTTCAACTTGAAAGATTTCATCTGCTTCCATTTCAGCTTCGGTGACTTCAAATACCCCTCTTGGTTTTGTCTTAATAACTGCCCACTTAACTTTCGTCTCCTTTGTCACTGAAGGGTATGGTGTATAAAACACTTGTTCTGCTTTTGATGCCAAACAAAATGGGTCATCAGTTTGAAGTTGAGAGTCGGGTTTGACATCAATCAACTTGTCTTTGTTGACTATTACACCGTATTTGTTATCAAACCAAATACAATTAAATAGTACAACAATCGAGGGCCCGCTACTATAATACTCAATCTCTAAGATCTCTTGCAATATGGCGTAGTAGTTTGACTCTTGTTCGACATTATACGTCTCCCCTCTCACATATACTCCAAAGTTATTCGCCACACGGCCCCCACCATATTGTTGCGTGTGGAACTTATAACCATTTACAAAATACCCGTTATGAAAATGAGCATGTCTTGATGGAGGAGGCACATAGGTCGAGATTTTCGATCCATCTAGGAGCCACTAAGATGTATTTGGATCTGAAGAGAGATTACTGGTGGCCCTGTATGAAGAGGGATGTGGCATGGGTATCTGAGAGGTGCTTGACCTGTTGTCGGGTTAAGGCGGAGCACCAGCGTCCACATGGCCCGTTACAGCCTCTAGAGATTCCCCAGTGGAAGTGGGAACAAATTTCCATGGATTTTATCACCAAATTACCAAGAACCACACGAGGTGTCGATGCGATATGGGTGATTGTAGACTGGCTAACGAAGAGCGCCCACTTCCTTGCTATCAGTGAGAGCTCTTCTGCAGAGAGATTGGCCGAGATCTATGTGAGAGAGGTGGTGACACGGCATGGGGTGCTGACTTCGATAGTGTCAGATCGGGATGTGCGTTTTACTTCCAGGTTTTGTAAGAGGTTTCATGAGGAGTTGGGTACCCGATTGCACTTCAGTACCGCATACCACCCACAGATTGACGGGCAGAGTGAGCGGACGATTCAGACACTGGAGGACATGCTGCGTGCATGTTTTATGGACTTCGGAGGGAGTTGGGATACTTATTTACCATTGGCTGAGTTTTCATATAACAACAACCATCATTTCAGTATTGGCATGCCTCCCTTTGAGCTCTTATATGGGAGGAGGTGTCAGACTCCCATCTGTTGGGGAGCGGTAGGGCAGAGAGTGATGGGTGGCACAGAGATAGTGCTCAAAACGACTGAGCAGATTCAACAGGTCAGACAGAGGTTACTGACAGCTCAGAGTCGCCAGAAGAGTTAGGCAGACCGGCGATGATCCGAGCTTGACTTCCAGGTGGGAGATTTTGTCCTCCTGAAGGTATCCCCGTGGAAAGGGGTGATCCGATTCAGGAAGCGGGGAAAACTGGGTCCCAGATATATTGGTCCTTTCAGAGTGACTGCCAGAGTGAGGAAGGTAGCTTATCGGTTGGAGATACCTGGAGAGTTGAGCCAAATACATAACACCTTTCACGTGTCTCAGTTGAAGAAGTGTGTAGCCGATTAGACGCCAGTGGTACCGTTAGAGGACATTCAGGTTGATGCGAGCCTGAATTACATCGAGAAGCCGATACCGATCTTAGATAGGAAGGTGAAGGTCTTGAGGAATAAAGAGGTACCCTTGGTTCAGATCCAGTGGCCAAATGTCTTACATGTTCCAGGGTCAAAGTAGAACATCAACGACCCTCTGGACTATTGGTCCAACC